GCTCCTGTAAACATTTGTAACCTCCAAAACCCTTTATAGAGTCACTTATTACAGATGAATATTTCTGATTTCTCAACTAGCCAGAAATGTGTCTTGGGGTTTTTTTCATCGACAAACCTACTCAAGAAATATGTTGTGCTGAGTGAATACTATAATGCATGTAAATACATAATATAATACATTGTGCAGAATAAGTAATATAATGTATATAATAATAGTTGAATACTTTAACCAAGCACACAAATCCCTGAGCTTAGTTTAGAGAGTATTTGAAATGTTATCCATTATCTTAAATAAATCATCAAATTCTGAGATTATGGAAATCAGAAATATTTAAGCAGAAGGAATTAAGATAGAGAAGATTGGCACAGATGCCAACAGTGTTTTGATTTTTGCTACAGGAATGCACTTTTAATTTTGACGAGTTCCATGTTCTCAAATATTTTGTCCAATCATAAAATTATCCTCATATTAGGTTAAGAGATTTTTCCAAAATAAACAGCTACCCAATCTCACAATAGACCTACAAATCAACCTAAGGTTAACACTAACAGGATATATGTCCTTAGAATAGGCAACTTTATGGAGATTAGAGTAAAATAGTAGTCACTGGGGGTAAGAAGGAGGGGGAAAGAGGAAACCATTGCTTAGGAAGCATTGAGTTTCTGTTCCTGGAGACAGAAATCTTGATAATGGATACTGGTGATAGTTATGCAACTTGACGGATGTACTTGGTGTCACTGGCTTATATACATGAAAAATGTTGTGCTATCTATAATTTTACAACAATAAAAAATAGTGGAAAATACAACAACTGGGAAAGAACATATGTGAGGGAGGAGAAAGAGACTAATTTAACTGTGTGTTATATTAGAGACTGAGTGGTGCTAGTGGAAAGAATAAAGTCAGAAAAGGGGGAAGGCAAGTCAGGGAAATGGACGGCAATGTGGGAGTCAAGGAATCCATTTAAAAGTTAGCCACAGAGCGAACCAAAAACTGAAAAAAGGGAGAGAACTAGTTATGAAGATACCTGAGGAGAAGGTGGAGGAAACGGGAGGATTTCCAGCCTCCAGAAATAGCAATTACAAAAAGCACAGATCATGCCCCATTTATTCCAGGAAATACCAAAACATGGTCCACTGACTGGAATGAGGCAAACAGTCAAGGGAAAGTTAGTGGGAATCAGCAGCAGACACGGACCGAGGGCAAGATCACATCGCGCATGTTGACTTTGGGAGAGACGTTGGATATTTTCTCAAATAATTTGAGACATATTTGGATGGTTCAAAAGAAAGGAGGCAGATGATGGAACTGGCGTTTTCCTGGGAACACTGACTCTTCTGTTGTGAACAGTCAAGGCGGGTCAGAACGGAAGCACCAGGAGCACCAGGAGGTGACTGCTCTCATGGCAGGAGGAGATGGTAATGGCTTAGGCTAGGCTAAGAGGAAAAGGAGCCATGAGAAACTGGTCATGCTCTGATTGCGTATATGTATCAAAGGTGGAAATAAGAGGTGTTTGCTGATGTTTTTCAAAAACAGTATGAGATAGTTTATTGTACCAGCCTGGCCGATAAACACAAGTGGGATTAATTGAAGGGTGGAGAGATAAATGGCTCGGTGAGCCTCGCCTTTCTTGTCTCTCGCTCTTTGGACCAGTGTGCAGCTGCCTTGCTTGTTCTGTGCCTCAATTTAGAGGCTACACTACTTGTGGGACGCCTAGCCTGTGCACTGCGTAGCTGTAAATTGAGGTCCCTTTAAGACTGCGCGATTGGAATGTATATCTCTGGAGCTTGAGGCTGATGGTTGATGACCTGGCTGACAGTTGGTGACCTGCCTTGTTGTTTGCTGCTGTGTGCTGGGATAGCCTAGCTCTCTCTACAGAGGATGACCTGGCGGCCCTCAAGACTTGAAGGACTGCCAGTGTCACAACTCTCTCATGGGAGTGAGTTGCACTGAGCCATTTGTACTGCTTTATAATTTAACTGTTCATTATATATCTATCTATATGTATATAATTTAGCACTTCATTTCTTGTGTTATATATTTATCTATCTTTATAAATTTATGTATAAAATTACTAGCAATCCGGTTTTGTCTCTCTAGAGAACCCTGTCTAATACACAGTATAAAAGAAGAGTCAAGAATAACATTAGATGATTGCCCCTATCTTGGAAATCATGCTATTTATTTTCATGGGGAAGTCTGGGAAAGAATTGTCCAGGACTCAGTTTTATGGATGCACCAAGTGAAGCTGTCAGAGGAGACATTTAAGAAATTGGGGGAGGGGAGGCACGAGGGCCAAGGTTTGCATGGGTGCACCTCCCAGTGCCCTCGGCTACTGCTGTCTGTGAGGCTAGCGCCATAAGGCTGAGAGTCTGGAAATGCTGGCCAAGAAACATTGCTTCTTGCTTATAGAGGTGGGTTAGAGCCTGATGAGATCAGGGGGCTGGATGCTGTCCTTGGACAGGGGCATGGGAACCATAGGGCCTTGGTTCTGCCTCCCCTTCCTTTGGTGACCTTGGCTGGAGGAGGCACCACACTTTGTGGACCCTGTGATCCACAAGCTTCAGGCTGTCATAGAGAGCCTGGTGCAGCTGTGGCTTCCCAGCCCCTGTGCTGCCTTTCCCCAAGGGAGTCACCTCAGAGCAGCTGCTGCCAACAGGAGACAGCAAGAGCTGAGTCTCCAAGGGTCCCATAGTCCTTAGAAAATTCCAACAGATGGAAGCCCCCCAGCTCCCTCTGTCTCTTCCTCCAGGGCCTGGGACAGGAACACAGGCTATCAGTGCATGGTGGCAGACAGATCACCATACTGATAGACAATAGGAGGGATGGATAACAGGAAGCAGAGGGGGACCCAGGCAGCTTCAGTGGGTGCAGGAGCCTGAGCCACACTGAGCAAGTAGGACACTGTGCTGGCTGACTTAATCTGAAGGTTCCAGGTGTAGGTCTCAGACTTCCAGGCATCTGCTGCAGATTCTGCATGGTCTGGTACTAGAGAGAAATCAATGTTGAGGAGTGGGGTGACAAGGTTATTTACAGCACTGAGTGACACCACTGAATATAGGAGAGTTCATTCACGTATGGAAAGTAAACTCAACTGCCAGATCTGGTCACCAGGACTTGGTTGTGGATTTAGAAGAGAATCCCTCACAAGGTTGATCTTAGGGCACTTAAAGCTGGGGTAATAACACCACAATCCAGAAACCAGAGAAGCAGAAGGAAAAGCAGTTAACTATGAAAGTATGATGATCGTGCATCTCTCTCTGATGGCTATTATGCACTGGACTGTTAACCCCACGAGGTCAGTTGTTCAAAACCACCAGATGCTCCAAGGGAGAAAGATGAAGCTGTCTGGTCACATAGAGATTTACAGCTTAGGAAACCCACAGGGCCAATGGTACTCTCTCCTCTATGGTCCCTAGTAGACTGAATCAACTCCAGTGACAATGCTAATGATGATGATGATGATGATGAACTGGGCAGGCAGGAGTGATGAATTGTTAAACATTAATTATAGTCATTTGACTTTTGGGGGCCTTAATATGAACATCTTTAGGGAAGTCTCAGAAAACACAAAGTCAATGCCATTGTGCTAAGCGACTAAGTGACTTACAGGACAGAGTAGAAACCTCCCCGGTAGATAGGTTTCTGAGACCATAACTCTTTACAGCAGTAGACAGTCTCTTTCTCTTTTGGAACAGCTGGAGGTTTCCAATGGCTGACCTTGGAGTTGACAGCCCACCACAGCCCAATTGAGACAATCTTCTCTATTTTACTTGGAAAGAAACCAGTATATTAGCACTAATATTGAATCTCTAATAGGAATTGAATCTTCCTAGGTTCCAATCGGATGAATCCAAACATCATAAAAATCATATTTTCTGGGATTCATGTTCATTTAAGTACAAAAGGACTTCAATTTTATATAATTAGTCTAATGGGATAGTACTTTAATGGATTATAGATGTATAGTTGCTACCTATAATCCTGTATACTCACTACATAAAAGTATTTATCATTGTCACTGCAGTTTTATGTATATCCAAACAGAATAATGGGCCTCTTTGTCAGTTTAAGACACATTTGGTTTTTTTGCAACATTATTGTTAAGGGAAAAATCCACAATAGTAAAAATTAAAATAACAGAAATTTAAAATTTCTTTTCACTTTAGGACTAGACAATGAGTTTTACTTAAATCTAAAATTGGTTCATTATTAGTCTGTATTTGGTGGTTATCGCTGGCTATGTATAAATAGAGTTAATTCTGTTTGCTGAACCATCTCATTATTATATATCATCCTGCTTTATATTTTCTAAAAATTTGTATGTACATTACCATGTGCTCTAACCTCTTTCTACCTTATACCCATTGGTGGTTTGAAACTGCCAGCAGTTCCACAGGGGAAAGATGGCGCTTTCTAGTCTTATAGAGATTTACAGTCTCAGAAGTCCTCCTTTGCAATTCTACCTCTCCTATAGGATCACTTTTGGTCACAGTCAACTCCATGGCAATGATTTGGGGTTCTTTGGTCTAGATGCTACTATGAAATATGACTACATAATGGTATTCCAGTATATGCTATAAACAAAAGAAAAATATCAGAGTTTTATAAATATTTCAGAATGAGGTGCTAAGTCCAGTATTTCCAATGGAAACAATTTACCTTTTAAGCTAGTAAATTGGGCAATGGTGAAGTATGAAGAAGACCACTGCACAAGAAAATACAAATGTTCAGGCTGTTTTCCTTTTTGTTGGACAGTCCTTCTTCATGGGAAAAACAATTCACTGACTTCAGAAATCTGAAATTGAATGTATAATATGAGCAATATGAGTGATGGGTGCAAATTGGGGGGAAAAGAATCATTCTAAATAACAATGAGAGTCATTGGTTGAAGCCTAGATTTCTAGACGTAGCAGTGATGTGATATGAATTCTTTCAAATGTTTCCCTTTACTCAGCAAAGCAACTCAAGTTGAACCATGTGGTTTTTCCTTAGGTGAGATGATGGCCATGGAGAGAAACAATCACACCGTGACTGAATTCATCCTGGTGGGATTCACAAGAGACCCTGTGATACAGTTGGTCCTATTTGTGGGGTTTCTTGGCGTGTACTCAGTGACCGTGGGGGGAAATATCACACTCATTGTGTTGATCTGTAATGATTCCCGGCTCCACACACCCATGTACTTTTTCATTGGTAATCTGTCTTTTCTGGACCTCTGGTATTCCTCTGTCTACACCCCGAAGATCCTAGTGACCTGCATCTCTGAGGACAAAAGCATCTCCTTTGGTGGCTGTGTGGCTCAGTTCTTTTTCTCTGGTGGGCTGGCATATAGTGAATGTTACCTCTTGGCTGCCATGGCTTACGACCGCTATATGGCCATATCAAAACCACTGCTTTATTCTCAGGCAATGCCCATCAGGTTGTGTGCACTTTTGGTGGCAGCCTCATATCTTGGTGGGTTTATTAACTCTTCTGTCATCACCAAAAGAACTTTTGCCTTGAACTTTTGTGGTGACAACGTCATAGATGACTTTTTCTGTGACTTACTTCCCCTGGTGAAGCTGGCTTGTGGCAGAAAAGATGGCTACCAGATTGTACTGTATATTCTCTTGGCTTTGAATGTCATCACCCCCACTGTGCTCATACTTGCCTCCTATCTCTTCATCATTGCCACCATTTTGAAGATCCGCTCCACCCAGGGCCGCCTCAAAGCCTTCTCTACCTGCTCCTCCCACTTGATCTCCGTCACCTTGTACTACGGCTCCATTCTCTACATCTACTGCCATCCCCGATCAAGTGATTCTATGGAAAGAGACAAAATAGTCTCTACCTTTTACACTGTGGTTTTCCCTATGCTGAATCCCATGATCTATAGTCTGAGGAATAAGGATGTGAAAGAGGCTCTGAATAAACTCTTTAAATAAATCAACATTCTCTTTTACTAAGAAGATGCTAGGATGATTTCTGTTCAGGTTATATATCAAGTTTGGCTACCATCATGCCCCATCTTGATTAAGAAGACATATAACTCAAGCTAAAGAGTTTTTTCCCATCTGGACACAAGGGGTCTATGATATGAAAACTTGGGCACATCAGAAATTAAATTTAAATGTAAATAGTAAGGATTTTTGACTGGATTATATCGGCTAGGAACAACAAACACTATGGATTAGTGAAAACAGTAAATAAGTAAAAGGCAAAAATTTCCTCTGCCTTTATAAATAAAAGTAACACTATCTCATAGAAATATCCTTGAAGACTCATTCATATGATGTTGCATCTACACAGTTATGTCCTCAATGTAGAAAAATAAACATGATGAATTAATGTTTAGTGTTTTCCTGTAACTAGATGGCATGCATCACTATTTCTTTGGTGAACAAAATGAACATATTGATATCAATTGTTTCCAGAAGCATTTAGCATGAAGACCTAGTAGGACACATGAATCATCTCAGTGTAAACTAAGCTCGGCAGGCATGATCTCACCAATCAACTTGTCTCTTGCAAAGGGGAAAATCCGCCAAGACTCATAGATATGATTTGTGTGGATCATTGTAACTCCCAGGGATCCTTTAAGACTTCCACTAATCAAGTTATGACAGAGTTGGCATCAAAATACAATTATCAAAATAAAAAATAATAACTATAGTGAAGTAGCACCACCTGGTAGGTGAGAACCTATCAGGCTGCTTAAAAGTCAATTCCAACTCATAACCAAATAGCACAGATTAGAACTGGCCCTGTTCATTTCTGAGACTACAGCTCTTTACCAGAGTAGAAAGCCTGAACTTTCTCCAGATGAGTGGTCTGGTGGTTTTGAACTGATGACCTGCCACTAGCAGACCAAAAGATAAAGGGTAACCACTCTGCCATCATGGTTCCAAAATCTATAAGGAGAGTACATAAAATATTGACACAAAGAAAGGGTAAATATGATAAATTACATGTAATTTTTAAAATAATACAAAGTTGATATAGATTTATAGAGCACAAATATGTCCCTGTCCCTACTGAAGAACACAGTAAAGAACAAAATACTAGGAACTTCCAGCTAACCAAATAATTTCAGTAGAAGAAGAAGCTCCAGTCAAACAAGAAGGGCTTATCAACCCTGGAAATCATGCCCATTAATCTGGAAGGAAGGTAGAAAAGATGTAGATGGTTCTGGTTGTCAAACACAATAGCCCAGTTGAAACAGAAACCGACAGAGTAATCATAACCTACTTGACATAGATAATATTGAAAAAAATACATATTTCTGCCAACTTGGCTTTATGTCTTCTAAGAGATGAACTCTTTCTACTTCCTGCTAATAATAATAAAATCCCTACATAATTTACATTACTTTAAAATAACATTAATAGCTCGATTTTTTTATTATCATTCTGGGGGAATGAGGGGAATCATGAATACATGTCAACCAAATTAAACAAGAAAACATATTACTCTTTCAGAGGAAAGCACCAGGAGCATTAAGTGTATTGATAATATTTTTTGTTAGAGAGATTATCTTAACTCCATCATCATGTTTAAATATTACTAAATCTCTAGAAAGAAAATGAAGTGAGGATAATAATAATCTTGGGACTCCAAATATAGTAGTTAGGTTTATTGTGCCAACATGGCCAATAGGAACATGTGGGATTAATCAGGTTGCAGTTTGATTGGAGGGCAAAGAGATAAATGGCTCTAAAGGCCTGCCCTCCTCTCTCTTGCTCTCTGGTGATTGGAACAGCATGCTGCTGTTTTATTTAATTCTCTGCCTCAACCTGTGAGCTACACAACCAGTGGGCAAGGCCAAGTGGTGGATCCTGTAGCTAGAGCTTGAGGCTCCTTCAAGACCTGCTTCACTACGCTATTGGTGCATACATCACTTTAGCTTGAGGCTGGTCAATACTGTTGGCTTGCATTGCTTGAGTTCGAGATCCCATTCAGGTCTGCTTCGCTCAGCTCAGAGCTACTGACTGTTGCTGACCCACCCTGATGTTTGTTGCCTGTGGGCACACCCTGCCTATCTTGCCTGAGGGAAGACGCCCTTGTCTGCTTCCTTGACTTTGAACGCAGCAACCCACATGAGTAGAAGGACTGACTTCCAGTATATTAACTGTTCCATGGAAGTGAGTTACACAGAGCCACCTGTGCTACAGTGTGTACTAATTAGCTTTTATATTCCTTCTTGCTGTATGAACCTATCCATATAAATATGTTTGTTTATCTAGAGAAACCTGATTACCACGCTTAATAAATAAATTTAAATTAAATTTTTAATTAAATGCATGCCTTTGATGTTTAATAACATGTTTTAAAATGTATTTAAATGGAAGTTTGGAAATAAATGTTTAGTCACCGTGTTTGGAATGTTTCATCTGTTTTTCATGTTCAAAGTGTACAAAAGAGTAGGCTATACTAATTCAGAATCATGGTGTAAATTCCTAAAAGAATTTCTATTAATCAGTTATAAGTGATGAGTTTCAAATTCTCAAAATAAAAAATGTTTTCCATGTTTGTCTTTTAAATATATGAGCAATTAATTTAACTACTACACTTCTGTGTGTTGGGGCTCCCCCAAGACCACTTTCAGGCTCAATGGTTCACTAAAAGACCTCACAGAACTTAGCATCCAGACAAATTCATAGTTATTTTTCTCATTGCAATAGGAACAATAAGGAGCACCAACAGTAAAGGGAGAAGGCACATGGAGTGGGTCCAGGGAAACCAGGCACAAACTTCAAAGTATCTATCTCTACTGGAGTCACATAGGAAGGGTCAGATTCCTAGAGCAACAGGTCATAAAATGTGTGAAGTGTTGTCAACCAGGAAAGTTCCCTATAAACTTGATTTTTGGTTGGGAACTGTTCAGATATATAACTTCTGCTCAGCACACACACAAAAATTAGGCCCTGAGAAAGAAAACAAGTTGTTCAGTATAAACCATAGTGTTTGTGTGAACAGCTTAGCCAGATGGAACCATTTTTATTATTTCTGTGAATGGTGAGAGTTCTCTGATTCCCAGACGCTGCCCAAAACCAGTCTTGTGAGCAGATATTTCCAAGAACAATGGATCTACTATGTTAATTTTCTCCTACATAAAACATGTAGAGATGCTCTCCTTTATGTGAAAACAAATGTTTTAAAGTTATATATTCTATACATAAAATGAACAATTCTTAGTGTCTTAAACAATGCCAATCCAGGGGAATAGATCTTAAAGAATCCCAAAGGAATACCATTGTATAAATCTCTATATACACAGTATTGAAAAGATTCCTGTATTAACAGTCAACTTTATGTCAAGTAGGAGATAGTAAAATAAGTATCTAAATGATTGAGATTGCTGAAACTATAAACACTACTATTCCTATTACTAAAAATATAAATAAAAACAATAATTCCTGACTTTTCCATGATTCTGCTCCATTTGCTCTCTCCTGAATCTCAGCTGAAATATTGTAAGATATCTCAAACTTTCATTCTAATGAGACCTGAAACTTCACTCTCGTGTCTATTGGGTGGTCACACTTCTTTTTATTAAGAATTCCTAAAGCTCCAGTAAGAGATAACAAAGTTCCCCTTGCTTCTTAACATAATTCTCGACTCTATTTTGTAGCACAGGTAATTTTCGTATGGCGATTGGAATCAATCCCCCTGCCCAGTAGGCTGACCCTTGTTATGCCACTGAAAGAGAAGCCCAAGATCACCAGGAGAAAGCATCATATGTCAATTGATTGTGACAATGATGCTTCTCCATTAAGCATCCCTACCTTGGGCACACAGACTTACAAATCCACTGCACCCGGGGACAGTAGATAAAAGTCTAGTGGACTATTTGGGCAACAGTCAAGCAGAATGCAGTAATCTAAGTCCTCTGGGGATAAACCACCAGAAAGGAATTCAGTTTACTAGGACTTTATTAAAGGAAATAGCTGTGCAAGGGAAAATTGAGAAGGAATAAGAAAAGGCAAGGAGTGACATCAGATCATGATACAATACTGGTTTCAAGTGAACAGGATAGTATGTTAGTCTGGGTAGACTAGTGAGATAGTTAGTTTATTGTGCCAGCCTGGCCGATAAACACAAGTGGGATTAATTGAAGGGTGGAGAGATAAGTGGCTCGATGAGTCTCGCCTTTCTTGTCTCTTGCTCTTTGATCATCAGACCAGTGTGTGTGCTTGTTCTGTGCCTCCATTTACAGGCTACACTACCTGTGGGACGCCTAGCCTGTGAACAGTGTCGTTGTAAGTTGAGGTCCCTTTAAGACCACACAATTGAAATTTACATCTCTGGAGCTGAGGACTGACAGTTGGTGACCTGGCTGACAGTTGGTGACCTGCTGGCTGTTTTGCTGCCTGTGCTGGGATAGCCTCGCTCTCTCTCTACAAAAGACTACCGGATGGCCCTCAAGACTTGAAGGACTGCTAGTGCCTCATAACTCTCTCATGGGAGTGAGTTGCACTGAGCCATTTGTACTGCTTTATAATTTAACTGTTCAGTTCTTGTATTATATATCTATCTATCTGTTTATACTTTAAAAGTTCATTACTTGTGTTGCATATCTATCTGTTTATAATTTAACAGTTCATTTCTTGTGTTATATATATTTATCTTTATAAATATATATATATATAATTATCAGCAATCTGGTTTTAACTCTCTAGAGAACCCTGTCTAACACAACTAGAGAAACAAATCAAAGACACACATATGTATATAAGAAAGAGGTTCATATACAAGAGCAATTGAATATTGAGAAAACATCTCAGCCCAGTCCAGATCAAGTCCATAAGTCTGGTATTAGCCCATATGTCCGATACCAATCTATAAATTCCTCTTCAGACTCACAACACATATGCAATGATGCTGAATACAGGATAATCACAGGCCCATGGATGGTAAGTCTTATGACAATTCCTGGGGAAGGCCA